CCGGGTTTCGATACCTGTGGTTGGCAGAGCACAGATAGCCCATTATGTAGCTTTATGCTTAATTGCAAACAAACTTAACAAAAAGACTAACTCCTTAAACTATAGATGTTCAGACTCGTTTTTCTTTATGTACCTTAGAGTATAAAGCTATCCTCTTGTTGTTAACACAATGTGCCTACAATAGTGACTTTATGTACTATGGTTACATGGTGAATGTAGAATTTTAATTGATAAAATGTTAAATCAGGTTGATACTGTACATATTTGGTATTTATCAGAAATATACTAATTGTTTTAATAAAAGTTTGAGTTTAACAATACTATTCAACAATAAAAAATTTTTACAGACAATTATGATTGATAATAATCACAAATAATAACAAATTTCAAATCACAGATAAAAAAAAGAGGGATCTCATTGTCACAAATTAGTTACTGTCCACCAGATTTGTGCGTAAATAGTACAAGTTTATGTTTCTGCTGTGATAATTCGTTAGAAATTTCTAATTAAAATTATTTTCCTTAGAACAAATTCAGATCAAACAAAACAGTTTGTTTTGTGAATTTTTTTATAAAAGTTTGTTTTTGTCCGGGAATTTGCAGAAAGTTACACGAGAGTTATCATCACAAGCCAGTGTAATTTTCAAATACTAAACTAGAGAAAAGAAGCTTGCCCAAAGCAGTAACCAAAATTAATAATAGAATCTGACTGTTACACCTATAAGGCACCCCTAAAAAAAAAAAGAGGCCAAAAAAAAAAAACATTAACCCTAATGTGTACAAATTGAAATTATAAAAATAATTTGTTAACTGCTGAAAAGTGAAAATAAAAATATCGGATATTTACAACACGCTTTTTTTTAAAACTTATTTCTTTTATGAAAAAAATTTGATTACCTTTACAGTTTTATCTACAGATGTTGAAGCAAAATACGTGCCATCTCGAGAAACATCACAAGAAGTTACTGTCTGTTTATTGTGGCCATCACAGCGAATCAAGCATCTGCCAGTATCTAATTGCCATACCTGAAACCAAGGAGAAAGAATTAATACTTTTTTGTATTTTTACAAAAATTTCACCCCCCCCCCCTCAAAAAAAAGAAAGATTTATGTTTGATTTAACTTAAATCAAATGTAACCAACTGTATATATGAAAATGTTTTGTATTATTTAAATATAGGTGTAGAGTTAAGGTTTTAAATAGCCATTTTACTTTTTTTGCGTTAAATAAACCTAGTCATCATTTGTAGTCTTTTAAAGCTAGGTCAACATACTTTATAGTGCACCAAAATTAATGGTGCGTAGATGCATCCCTTGTGTCTGCCACTGATGTGTACCTATATTTCATATATTAAAAAAATTGTAATGTTTCTATAACTTATTCATTACAGGTTACCATACGTCCCAATGTGAAAGATTTATGTATGTAAAAATGAGCCCCCTTGTACAGTATTTAATAGTTACAGATATCTATTAAGAACACACAAAATTTGTGCAAACAACTGAAAAAAATGACTAAAATTAAAAATTACACATTTCGTGGAGATTCAAATATAAAGTCTCAATTAACAATTTAAAAAAATGTTAATAATGTTTTGTTAATTCTATATTATATTAAAATACTTTTTACGAGTTAGATCATTACGGAAGGTAGCAGTACTTTGGTTACTTCATATCAAAGTGTTAACCCTAAAATTAATGGTGACCTGCACCCTACTGACATATTTGTCTACAGTATTTATTCACCAAATTGTTTTTGGGGTCATGATTTTGGTGGTTACATTGACCCTAATAATATACATATCATACAAAAATATTATTAATATTTTAATTAATATCATTAATTACTAATGAAGTTCTCTATTTTACACAGGAAGCGAGTGATTTCACCCAATCTCTTGCAGTGAGTGTTGTAACAAACGAAAACATACTCAACATGGTGCAATATGTGGACCCACCAGTAGTAAATGTATTTAAAGAAAAGTCAGTAATTTGAGGAGTAACTCACAAAATATTTGTAGATCATATTACCAGTATATTTGAGTCATTATTTCATTTTATCAAAGCAAATCTAATAAACAGTTACGTTATGTATTATTCATGATATAAACAAAACAGTGAACGTAGAGTGTACGAACTACATTAATAACAATAATTGCCGTTATCCATTGACCACATGACTATACATCTTCAAAAAAAAAAGGAAAAATATTGAAAGCAGGTTGGTTAAACAGGACTTATACAGTCACATAAATCTGTCCAACTGTTGCATATCTTGATATAAACTAATTCACAAGTTAGGTAATATTACTATTCAAAGTTTACAGTTTTTGAAAAATAGCCGTAATGATAATGAAAAATATTCCAACCTCCAACGGTAAAAATCAAAGCACTCGTTATGAAAGACAACTTGAAAATGTGTACAGTTAACAACAGTTAGTTCCAAAAAATTTTCCAACAGATTTACGAAAAACGAAAGTGATAAAAACCTTAACAGTTAAAGAGAAAATGGCTCTAACTTTGCAAATTAAAACAAAAACTGGTTACCTAAACATAATTAATTATGATACATTTAAGTAAACTGTCCATTATTTACATAATATTACAGTTTAAGAAAATATTCTGAAAATTTAAGTTAGCAACACACATTCTTTTTTATCCTTCTGTTTAAGCTAAAGAAATTAACCCTAACGCAGGTTCAGCATTACACAGCCTAGTTAGAAATCCTTACATAGTAACGAGAACTCTGATGAGATTAAATATATGATGCTGCAATGCAGGTTTTAATAACAAAAACCAGTTCTCCAGCAACCAACAAGAACCCTTAACAACCCATTTTCCTTGTTCGAAACAGTGAGCTTTTACATTTTTAAGCCTGAAAATAAAAGCATAAAGTACTTTTGTTGAGAAACTATCTTGTTTTTAATAACAATTTTGAAATAAATCACTTGAAAACATAAAATTAAATCAACAGACAACTTACTTTTTCCCACCTGTCTTCTGAGCAGGACAGTTTATTAGGCTTCAAAATATGCTCAGGTAGCACCACTGAGCATCCAAAAATCCGGAATTTCTGGGGGGCTGCTTGAGGCCTCAAATCCCCAGTATTTGTGGTTTTAGTCCCAGGATATATTGTTCAGAGATTTACTTTAACCCATGCTCAAAAGATGGGTTACTTTGGGGGATATTGTCAGTACAGGTACTAACTCACAAAATAGTAAGATAATATGTCCATTCATTTCATCATAATGCTTTATCTGTTTGAAAGTAACTATATAAAGTGACTGTGACCAGGTTATTGTTATTTTTTTACCATTAGTTTAGGCCTAATAACTTACCAGAATCCACCCATTTTCTGAGCAAGACAATATCCTTACTGATAACTTACCAGAATCCACCCATCTTCTGAGCAAGACAATATCCTTACTGATAACTTACCAGAATCCACCCATCTTCTGAGCAAGACAATATCCTTACTGATAACTTACCAGAATCCACCCATTTTCTGAGCAAGACAATATCCTTACTGATAACTTACCAGAATCCACCCATCTTCTGAGCAAGACAATATCCTTACTGATAACTTACCAGAATCCACCCATCTTATGAACAAGACAATATCCAAACTAATAACTTAACCAAATCCACCTGACTTATGAACAAGACAATATCCAAACT